TCCTCTCTCCCCTTCTCTTATGCATGTATGGGCATGTGTGAGATTGTCTGTGTGTGAGTGGCGAGGAAATTCGTCAGACAACCAAGTTCATAACATGCCAGCTATCGGCCGCGGACCCCTTTCGGAGGCCGCCCGCCACCGATTCATTCATTTTATCTCCTAAATTTCCGGAGAGGCTCAAAACAGGTTCTCCAGTTCCCTGGGGCCATGTACTCATGGACCAGTGGTGGTTTAACAAACGACAGGAAATGCAAATAGAGCTCCGCTATGATCTCGTGGACCATGTGGTTCTCCAGTTGCCCGGTGCCATGTCTTCGTGGACCTGGTGCAGTGGTGGTTCTCCAGATGTCAAAACTGGCAGAGAGATGGAAAACCAGGTGCATTGGCCCCTATTCGTTCTAGAGCCAGCATCTGTACATACCGCCATTAGGTATCTCTGCATCGACGCTCGACGGATCGACGGTCAACAAGTTGCATGACCGTCTGGTTGGTCTCGTCTTCTCGTATGCACCCATCGCTTCCGTTCTTACTTCCCTCCCATGGTTTAGTCCACGTCAAACTGGTTCCGAAGCGGTTTCGTATCGGAATCGGGAGGCAACGCCCCTGATTAGGTCGTAATTCTGATCGTGATATATGCGGCGCCCAGATCGTGCATGTTGACGATGATCCTGATTTCAGCCCGGAGTGGCAGTCGATCAGGATTAGTGACGGTACTAATGGACGCCTGTCAGCCGCTGTCTCCTATGCCCTCGCAGTGAATCAGGATTACGGACCCCTCTCAGCCGGGATCGACCCTTGTCAGGGGCAAGCCAGTGCCCCTTTGCATGTGCATCACCACGAACCCCGTGCGCCCTTCCCCTCACGCGCTGCCACCGGGCCCACCAACAAGTTCTAGCAGGGTGCTGCCATCACTCGACTCGCAGCAGCACCAGCGCGATCCCCTGTTGCGTAGGACCTAGGCGCCGCGCTCCCCGAGCGCTGCTAGCATTAGCGCCATGGTTGAGGGTCACCTCTGAGTCAGAATTCCTGACGGAATCGAAGATAAAAAAGAAAAAGAAGGAAATCAAGAAATCAAATTAAGCCCCCATTTATACCCCCCCCTCCCTCCCCCCTCAACAAAACACTGAAAAACAGAGAGGAGCCCGGATTTAGGCTCCTTCAAGTGGACACAGAAAAGCCCCACGGACGGGAAAACAAAAAAAAAAAAAAAAACTCGGAGTTTCTACATGTGCGGGGCACCCCCGGGCAGGCGGACTGCCAGGCACGCCTCGTAGCCTAGCTGTCTGGTGATTCTCCTATTACCTATTTTGACTCGCAGAGCCCTGGGAACCTCGATTCGCCCCCTTGACCCCAGGTCTACTGACCTGAGGACTTTCTGGGACCTCCCTAGAGGTTCTAGGGTGACTTTTGACCCTAGAACCCCGGCTTGACCCAAGAACCTTGACTTGGTCAACTTTGTGCTGATTGGACCTCGGCTTTTTGCAAAGCTGTAGGCACTAGAACATCCCTGGTCCCTGGTCCCTCCTAGTCCCTGGTCCTGGATTTCTTGATTCTGTGTGATGGGAATCATGGGATTGCTCATGGAGCATCCTGAAGGCATCTCATTGTGGTACTAGAGCATCCCTGGTCCCTGGTCCCTCCTATTCCCTGGTCCCTGGTCCTTTGTCGTTGGTACCTGGTCCTTGTTTGGTGGTCTCTGGTCCTCGGTCATCTTGGTCCCTGGTCCCTGGTCCTTGGTCTTTGGTCCATGGCCACAGGTCGTTGGCCCCTGGTCCCTGGTCCCCAGTCATTGATCCTTGGTCCCTGGTCCTTGGTCGTTGATCCCT